AATAAACTTGGAGCAGGGAGTTCAGTATTTCTTAACTGAGAAGGATAATTCTGTATTCAATTATGGAAACAGGCTATTTCCCCTACGTAGTCATCCATGAATCATTTCATAGGCTACCAAGACACTGATTAAGACATTAAAAGGGTCATTTAATAGATGTAAATAGCCTAAAATTGGTAATAGAGCTTCAAAAATGTCTTACTTGGTCATGTATTAAGATTTCCCTTCGAAATCACTTATTACAAATGCTTTATAATTTATCACTGAGACTAGGTATCAAATTGAGGAAGACAGAACAGTTATTAAACACACTGCAGATTGATGATTATTATACATGAAAAAGATATGTCAAGGGCTGGGGTTGTGGCTCAGTGGTAGAGCACTTGCCTAGCATGTGTGAGGCCCTGGGTTTGATTCTCAGCACCACATATAAATAAATAAAATAAAGGTCCATTGACAACTAAAAAAATATTTTTAAAAAAGTAGGTCAAGTGCAAAAGAGTTCTGACTTTGGGCTTATACAAAACTGGGTTTTGATTCCAACCCCATAAAATACGAACTAGTCTACGTTATCAAGTCAGGACCACGTCTTCAGCTACACCTGTGAACTTTCTGCTGGTGTTAAAAAGTCGAGTTCATCCAGGCAAACTGATGCGTCTTATCAATTCTCTATATTTCCTGATCCTACATCATAATGAACTCACTACAGCTCCCAATTGTATTTCAAAATATATGTAATTATAATTGACTTCAGCAGAACTACTAAAATTACAGTATCATTATTATTCCTTGATCAAAATTTTCTGACATTAATGCCAGGAAATTCTAAATCGTCAAGATTCAATAACTCTTCATGGATTTCATGGCTAATAAAATTACAATACTGATGTCAATACCTATCATTTACTGGGATGGCTCAAGTTCTGCCAATGAGTGTTGCACAAATCCTTGCACACTAAAGAACAGGAAACATGAGGCCTTGACCAACGAAATGACAATAAATGTGATGTTAAATCTACTGAAAATGCTTAACTTTGAAATTCTTTAATTAAAAAGGTTTTAAAATACTTATACATTCAGGCTTTTAACATTCTTATAATAAATGTTTCCATGATACACCACTGGTAAGAGCAATAATTATATGCACCATTCTTGCAGAACTTTTAAGTTCAAAACATTTCCACAAATGTCATCTCATTTAATTTCCACAACTAAATGAGGTATTAATATTTTTTTAAGGGAAAAGAAAAACACCAAAGTTCAAGAGGCCTAGAAAGTGAGTTGCCTAAAATCACGGTTAGAAACATAGCACACCAACCTTCAGTCCAATAATCTTTCTTTTACGTAAAAGTTTCATTTTTAGGGTGAATATGAAAAAAGTGGAAGAGATGTGTGCACCACGTTATTATTTGCTTGACAACAATCCCTATTTTTTATCATGATGAATTTTTACTGCCAGATTTCTAAAGCATCTAAGTGGATCTCTTAGTAAATCTGCCAAGAAGAGCACTAAACATTTTGCTATTACTAGAGAAAATTGATTTCTTTTTTTCAAATAATATAAAAGGAAAATTCACTAGGCCATAATCTTCTAACAATAATATTATAGAAATGAATATAAGTAGGAGATTACGTGTGAATGACTTTTTAAAGAAAAGCCTCTAGAATGTTTTAAATAATTCAAGTTTTGATATTAAGAACCTCTAACAATGCTTTGCAACTATAATCTAGCTAATTTCATACATCTATGAAATTTTATATTTTCATGTCAATTCACACCAAGAATTATAAATGACCACAATTATCCATATATTTCCAGAATGAAAACACATAAATAAGGAAAATATGCCTAAAGGAAAAATATCAGTTTTCTTAATAAAGGATAAAGAAGACTAAGGAACTATTAGACTAAGGGACTAATAATGCCTCATACACTTTGAAAAAGGAAAATGATCTTAACTAACCTGTTAGTCTTTAAAGTCTTCCTAACATATCTTAAATGAATAAGACTATCAGTGAATCTTATAACAATCAACACCACAAAATGACCAGATTTGACCCAATTAAAGAGCATAATATTTAAGTAGACCTTAAATTTTCATTAACCACTAATATGAATACCAAATATTTAGATTCCTTCAAAATATCAGACGAGTAGAATTTTTTCTCCAAGGAAAACTTATACTCTTAAAACTAAATAATTTTCTTCAAATAAAAGCAGTTTTTAATTTTCTGCAGATAGTCTAAAGTTACTCATTGCCCACACTGAAAGAGTTTATGATCTACTTATTTGAAAATGCTTCCATTAAACAATTTAATTATGAAATTCCTGTCAAAAATCTAGCTTAGCTGAAATTACATAACAAGGGTAATTAGCTCTATTGAAAATTTATTTGTAGGCAAATGAAATATATATAGTTATGTATAAGATTTCTAGACATATCTTGACCAATCTGACCTATTTTTATTCCTGCTTACACATATAATTAATTTATTTTAAAGCACTGGAAGTAAACCAACAAAAATGAAGAATGGGGAGAAATATAAAATTTGATTTTGTCTGCAACAATTCATTGAGATCATTTTCATTAACCCTGGTACACAACTCTGCATAAGCAATATCAGACCCTAGTAGGAGGGATAGAGCCAAATTTTTGGTTTCCTAAAATTAATTTATTATTTTGAATCCAGTACTATACTACATTGACTATAAACAGAATCATAGTTGGCAGAGTTTATAATCAGAGTTTAGATTATGAAGTCATTCAGTCCTAAGAGTTGAAAACCATGGCGATAAGGCCAAGTACAGAGTTAGAAAAGTCAGATGGAGTGGGTAGTGAACAGTGGTAGATCTTGATTTCCTAGTATTTATTTTATGACTTTATAAATTCAATAGTTGGTTCACCAGGTTAAAGTTCTTAATAAGGGTGAAACTGAAAACTCTGCTATTAAGAATCATCAGAGTTTAAAACAACTTAAAATGAAATTTGTATAATTTCACTTGGAAAGGATGAAGTCGAGATAGATTTAGAAGCAGCTATGCTTGAAGTAATTTGGTGGTATCACAAGGTGTAATTTTTGTTTACGGTAAATATGCTGTATTGGGGTACAAAATGATAACAATGTACCATGTTTTCAAAAAGTGTTCTGAGATTTTTTAATATATTAATATTTTATTTAAAATTCCATTTTAAATGTTTTATTTAAATTGTGATCTAAGTAGATCTCTTAGTAAATCTGCCAAGAAGAACACTAAGCATTTTGCTATTACTAGAGAAAACTGATTTTTTGAAAGAATACAAAAGGAAAATTCACTAGGCCACAATCTTCTAAAAATCATATTACCGAAGTGAACATAAATAGATTACATGGGAATGACTTTTTAAAGAAAAGCCTCTAGGATGTTTTAAACAAAGTTTAAACAACATTAACAATCATGTCACAGATAAAGAACGTATTTAAGAAGAATAAATACAATAATAATGATAGTAGTAGTATTAATCATAGTTAACATGGATTGAATACTTCTGTGTCATGCACTGGGATTTACAAACACAAAATCTACTCTTGAAAAATATAGTAATATTTTCCCACCTGTGGTTGGCTATGTGAGATGATGACAAATTGTTGAGAATAGTTGGAGAATTTACAGATGAGAAATTTGAAATCTCATAGAGAAAAATCATCAAAATCAAGGTCACTAATGAGCCTAAGAAGGCCCTTATAAATATTTGTACAAATGTCCAGCATGATAATACCATTTATTGAACATTTATTATGTGTCAATAGAGTATCCGTCACCCTTTAAAAATTCAGTCTTTGAATTTTCCCAACTACCCCCAGGAATCAGGACAAATTGTGGCAGAGTCAGGATTTAAACTGGAAAAAACAGTTTGTCACCAGAGCCCATATTCTCAGCCACTATGCTATGACTAGGGGCATTTGTACATTTTCAGCCTCCCCGGATACCAGTTCCAGACCCTATTCACCAGAAAATTTGGGGGATAGCTCTTCCCCTACATTACCAAGAAAATATTCTAAAAGTTGCTAGAGACTGGATGAATACGCATCTCAGAAGACATAGTACTCCAATCTACATACTTGTTCTTTCTGATTTGTGTCTCCTACTGGCTCAGGTCTTGAGTTTTAGATCTTTGAGATGCAAAATAACTTGTATGTTTGAGAAGGGAAACCTTTGGATGATCTTTATTTCTCAACAACTGTCCACCCAAGCTAGTTTCTTATCATGGCCCAAGCAGCTGTGTTTATCTCTTAGCTTCTATTCTCAGGAAACCCCTGGTATATGCTTCTGAGAGATGCAAAATCATGTTCGCTCATCTTCTCCCCCCCTAAAAGCCCCTGCAGTAACTACTCCTATTATGTCATCCGATTCAACTTTATTGTCTTCTCTGGATGGAAATTTTGTTTTGATAATAAGCTCTTACTAAAATGTATGGCAATTTAGTATACTGGAAGAGGAAATTTTGAGGCTGAGGCAATGATATGCAAAAGTAAACTTAAATGCACTAACATTATACACATGTAAAGCAATACATGTGTATTCAGCTTAGGAAAAATTTGCATATAGATAATCACAATAGGTACATTTTCATCATAACCAATTTCAAGGAGATAGTGTCTCCATTTTACAGTTATTGATTTTATAGTGGTAAAATAACACAGATTTTTAGTAATTATTGGTTTTATAAGCTATATTACAGTCTTCTACAAGAAGAATTCTTGCCATGAAATTCTACTGGCACTTAATTTTAAATCTCTGTACTTTTCAAAAGTAATAAAAATATCTTCAAATACATCACCATTATGCTTGGCTAATAAACAACTCAATGTACTACTGCCTTTCTCTGATAGTCTATTTCCCTCTTCCCCAGTATGCTTATTTAGTTAATATAACTTTCCAAATTATAAGAAATACTTCAGAACAATTCATGACATTGAATATCATGCACAAATGGTAAACGTATTTTTTAAACTCTTACCAGTCTTAGTGAGACAAGTGTAGTTCACTTTGCAAGAATTCCATTAATCTTGGATTATCTGAGCAAATTGGATGTATGATGGTCCTTTCAAAGAAGTGTCCCAGGAAAAGTCTAAGTGATAATCACTCGAAGGGGCTCAAGAGTACTATTCACAATATGCTAAAATAGAGAAGGGGACAAAAAAAAGAATGCAGATCTGTTAATAGAGCTTCATAGTTATATTATCAATATTACTTGTTTAACCACATAAATAGCAGTCTTAGTCTTATCTCTTAACAAGTGAGTGAGTTTATATGTTAATTAAAAAATAAATAAATACAAGTAGTTTCAAAATCCCAAGTGAATGCCTGAAACCTCAGATAGTACTGAATCCTAAATGTGCTATCTTCTTTACATAATTTAAGTAATAAATGTGCCTACAGTAGGAGATTAACAATAATAATAAAATATAACAAGTATTAAAATACACTGTGACACAATGGCCAGCATCACTAAACTTGCACTTTGGAGTTGCTATTAATTAAAATAAGAGTTACTTGAATGCAGGCACTATAATATCAGTTTATCTGATAACCAGAATGGCTATCCAGTGACTAACATGTGGGTAGAATATACAGCATGGATACTCTGAACAAGGAAATAATTCGTAAACCCTGCAGGATGGAGCAAGACAGCGTTAGATTTCAGCATGCTATTTAGAATAGTGTGCACAACTTAAATGCATGAATTATTCATTTCTAGAAGTTTCCATTTAATATTTTTAGGCTATGGTTGACTGAACTTAGGTAGCTTAAACCACAGAAAGTGAAACCACAAGTAAGCAAGTACAACTGTGTATTAAATTTTTTTAAAAAATGGTAGGGACGGGAGCTCATAACCCACTTGAATTAAAGTGTGAAATATGATATATCAAGAACTATGTAATGTTTTGAACAACCAACAATTAAAAAAAAATGGTAGGGACTTTGAGTCAGAGGGTGAGGCTTAATGTCATAAGCAAGTCATCTACTTGGCTTCTTTGGGCAACCTACTTATGCCTTCTGAGAAAGGCACTGAAATGAAGAAATGTTACCATAAATCAAGGACCACACACACAACCCTCAATAAAGAGTAGTTATTTTATCAGTTCCCTCATTTTTCTGTTCTTGGTTACAAATTATGAAGGTAGACAAAGGATCATTTATTGATTACACAGAATGAAACATTGGGTTGGTACATTTTAGAAATTATTTCAATTAACTCTCAGGTGAAATGCCACCATTTCTGGTTTACAAATCAGGGAATTGAGAATTTTCCAAAGTCAGACAACAAAAAAAATAGTAGAGCTGGATCTTCATTCATGTCCGTGTAATTTTCAAAGTTCATGCTACTTCTGGCCTCTTTCATATTTGAGGTAAATTTAATAATCAATTGCTTAATTTATACACACACACCAAAAAAATTATCCTGTGATATAAAAGGATTGTATTTTAACATGAGGAAAAAAGAAAGACATAAACTAATATTGAATGTCCAAATAAATGCAAAAATAAATGCACAAAAGAGGAAATAACAAAGACAAAAGTAGAAATTAATGACTAAAAAGTCAGAAAACAGTAACTCAAAATAATCAATACCTGTTTTTAAAAACATTAACAAATAAACAAACCCTCAGTATACTTGACCAAGAAAATATGAGATAAACCAAAAATATATGAAATAAAAATATTAGAAGAATTAACTATTTACAAAATGACATAAAATGATAAAGAAATACTCTATAGAAATCTATACATATGGGTTTTAAAATTAAGATTAAAAAGGACAATTTCTCAGGGGAATACAATTTTTTAAAAAAATAACATTGCTGATAGGAAGTTTATAGAAATCATTTTCCACACAAGAAAATAATTAGACACTGATAGTGTAATATTTGAACTTTATAAATCATTTAAAGACTAATAGCCCTGACCCTCTAAAAATTGTTCTAAAACATGAGAAAAAAGATGTGTTTCTTTTTCTTGAGCTGGCAAAATGTTGATAACTAACCTAAATTATTTTGTTTAAAAATAAAGAAATCTACAAACCAATATTTCTGTTATTATCAATGAAATGCAAAGAAATAAAAGAAAACAGTATAACCTCACATTAAGAAAATAATGTTGTAGCTTAGTGGTAGACTGGCTTAGTATGCACAAGCCTTGGGTTAGATCCAAAGCACCAAAATAAGAAAATAATATACACAATCTAGTGGGATTTATTATAAAAATTCCAGGTTGGTTTATACCAGGAAATCTATTAACACCATACACAATATTCACTCGCCATAAAAACAAATTACATACTATGTATGTATGAATATATAACAAATCCCATCAATATGTACATTATAATGTACCAATAAAAAAAACCTGAGAAACTAAAAGTAATGAACACTTTCTTAGCAAGATATATATATATATAGATATATATATATATATATATATATATATATTCCTCAATCTTAAAATCATTGTCTTACTTTATTAGAAAACATTAGAAGCATTTCTATTCAGATTAGGAATAGGAGGGGAATGCTCAATATCTCCATTATTATTCATTATTATATTGAAAGTACTAGCAAATGCAATGAAGTAAAATAAGTCAATTAAAGATATTAGAATTGGTAAGTAAGATAAAATTCTGTCTACTTAGAGATGATATGATTCTAGAAATCACTAACACTATTATCTCAAATGATAAAATAATTTAGTAAGACAACAGAACATAAAGTTAATATTCAAAAAGTGATAGCTTTTATGAACATTGCATTATAAATAAATAACCACACTAAAGGGTTTGGGAAGAACACACTGACCTATGTAAATTTTCAGAGACAGTATTGGGATGGCATATTCCAAGACTAAAGACAAGGAAAAACTATAAACACACAGCTGAAGATCTGTTTATCAGAAGGGTAAGAAATTTTAATGGTGAGATTTTTTTCAGATATATTTCAGGATTGGGCAAATGATTAAATGTACAGATGATGATGACAGCAAGTGTTCTCAATGTTAAAAAGTGAAGCTTTAAATAATAAAAGGGAGTTGGCTAGAAAGAAGCCCAGGATGCTGAAATAGAATAGCATGAATCTGTGTGAACTCAGAGCTTAGTGTTTGTATGTGTGCGCATGTATACAAAAATGACAGACAGTAGGTTTAGATATATATTTATATGTGCATGTATACACACACATTTCCTAGCTCTGCCAGGTAAGCAAAGACCAATGGCAAAGGAGCAATGGATACTCCTAGAACACAGACTGTGGCTTCCAAAGACCTTCTTCAGTAAAAAGAATCGAAATTCCTAGACAATTAGCTGATTTCTACAATGGAGCAGGGGTGAGCAAGGGGGAAAAACACACACACACACACACAGCAAGATGAGCCTGCAAGATCTTGTGGTGCCAAAGAGAAAGCAAGTGCTGAAAATTTGATGGATACCATGGGGGCAAAGGAACCAAACTAAAGGAGCCAAATCTATAATAATGTAAGCAACAAACTAAATAATCATAATGAAATTTATCTCATGGAATAAAATCAATATCCTTACATCTATACTACAAATAAACAAGAATGAGACAACCCATCCTTACAATAGAATTCAAACTAATAGAGAATGAATGATAGACACAGAACATCATAATCTCAAACACACAATGGTCCCAGCTACTCAGTAGGCTGAGGCAGGAAGGTGGCAAGGCCAAACCGGGCAACCTTGCAAGACCCTGTCTCAAAAAATAAGTTATTAAAAAGGTCAGGAGCTCTATCTCAGGGACAGAGCACCTGCTTAATATGTGCAGCAAGGTCCTGGATTCAACCCCCAGTACCACATAAAAAAAAAAAGGTAATACTGTTTAGAGGCAAGAATTATTGATGGAGGTTAAAATTAGCAGGTAAAAGTACAAGAGAAAATAGGACATTGGCATAATCCCAAACTGTCTCCCCATAAGGTACTTATTAACTACCAGGGAGAAAAATAAAAAATGCATTGTAGATGAGACTGATATGCTGCACCTCACTCAGGTAAGCAAACTTTGCATTCCTGAGAATGAGACATATCAACATCATTTATATCCAGGTGCAAGGTCACACCAGAGACTCTGTGGTATTCAGGCAAAAAATGAATAACCTGAATTCATAATGAGAAAGAAAAATCAGACAAACCCAAATGAAGGGGTATCCTCCAAAGCGAGTGGTCAGCAGTCTTCAAAATTGTGAAATTTTGAACTGTGAAAGGCAAAGTCTAAGGAGGTTCTCTGCCTCAGAGGAGAATAAAGACACATGACAAATAAATGCCATATACGATTCCTGATTTGATCCCAAGCCAGAAAAACAAAATTTGTAGCATAATTGGCAAAATTTGAAGGCAGTTTATAGATTGGATCAATATTGATTTCATGATTTTATAATTACACCACAGTCTTTTAAGCTGTCCATACTTGGTAAAGCTATGTAATGAGTTTGTTGAAATTCTGTAATATTTTTGAAGATGTTTTTTAAGTCTCAACTCATTTCAAAATCATTACTTCAAAACATTGTAAAAAATACCTGGAAAAAGAACAACAAACTCAACTGAAAGAAAATAAATGAAAGGTGGGAATAAAAATACGTGTAGAAATAGGAGTTCCAAGAAAATACACAATGGAGAAAGCCAACTATTCCAAAAGTTGCTTCTATAACTTAATAAGACTGATGAAGAAAAACAGAAAAGTAATACTAAGCAATACCACATGAAAATGAGAGAATCTCTGTTGTCAACATAATTATGTTTTAAAAAAATTGTATGCCAGCATCATGGAACAGAACAAAGTCAATGAATACATCCACATGCACACATACATGACCGTCAGGTTTGTGACAAAGTTGCCACTGGAATGAATGCAGAAAACAATACATTGGGTATTTTCAATAAATGGTGTTAGACACATTGAAAATTTGTGTGGAAAAAAATTGACCATTTCCTTTTACTATATCTAAATATAAAAATAAATGTCAGGTGGATTGTACATTAACATGAAAGTTAAAACAAGATAGCTTCTAGAAAAAAGTGGCCTAAAGCACTAAAACCAATTATAGCCAGAGTTGGAAAATATAGAGAAAGGAAGGAGAATTCCTATGTGACAAGTATAAGTTGGTTCA